CGGGGTCCCCGGGCCTCCGGGGCCCGTGGGCGCCCCGGGTCGGCGCAACCAGCGGGCCCGAGGCGGCCGGGAGGGCGGCCAAAAGCGGCCCCGCGGCGGGCAGGCCCCGCGAGGCCCAGGAGAGCCCCGACGCGGCCCAGCTCTGGGCCCAGCACAGGGCCCAGCACAGGGCCCAGAGAGGGCTCTAAGATGGCGGCCTGAGGGCTCCAAGAGGGCTCCAGAGAGGGCCCCTAAGAGGGCTCCCATCACAGGGCACCGAGGGGGGTCCCGTGGCGGCCCAAGACGGCGCCAAGACGCTCCTTAGGCGTACCCAGAGATCCAGCGCAGTGAAAAATTCGAGACGCAGGTTGTTCGCCGTTTTCTTAGGGTGGAGGGCTCAGGGTGAGATCCATATGAGCTTCTGCACCTCGACAATCAATCCGTCTTGTGACTCACCTGTTGCAGAGTCAGGCCTCGAAAACCAATCGAAGTGGCATTTCAGACTTTACCCTTTGCCCTCCGCCCAAAGAAAATGCTCGGCCCAACACGGCCCATCACAGGGCCCAGAGAGGGCCCGAGGGGGGCCACATGGCGGCCCAAGATGGCTCCAAGACGCTCCTTAGGCGTACCCAGAGATCCAGCGCATGGAAAAATGGAAGACGCAACTTTTTCGCCGCTTTCGGCCTCTGGAGGCCCTCGCCGGGCCTCGGGGCTGTCAAATAACGACTCGGGACGAAAAGCCGGTCCTGGGGAATGGGTCGAGACTTCTGGGGACCCCGTATCGAAAAAAAACACCGGATCTCTGGGTATTACACCCATGCTCAGAGTTAAAAAGTGTTAGGCTAAGGAAGTAGACTTCACTCGAGGCGTTCTCTTGACCAGCAGCCCAGGTCCAGACATGAGGGTGCTTCTCTACGAAGGAAAGAAGCTCCAGGGAAAAGCCCAGGGTCCAGTTAAGATTCTTGATATCTTTAGCGAAATCTGGAGTCCACGACAGTTGCTGCTTGTTCTCAAGATTTCTGATGGATGAGGCCCAAAGGTGGCCCCCAGAGGCCCCAATATGCCCCCAGCATGCTCCTGCATGGCCAAGCACAGCCCCAAGAAATCCCAAGGGCGGTCCCAAAAGAGTCCCGAGATTTCTCGGCAGGGTGGAGCCGGCGGACGGAGGAGCAGCCCGCGGGATAGACATTGTGAACTGACAGCACGGTGTTGCTACCAGCCCAGAGCCATTGGATGGCTGTCACAGCCTGGAGGACAGCAATTGGCAGGATGCCGCTGGCTCCCTCGCCGCGATACCCAAGAGAAGCGTTGAAAGTCGACGCGGCCTCCTCCGTCATGTGCACACGCGCAGCGGAAGCGCGCCTCAGAAAAACGAGATGGCATGCAACAGTGACAAGCAGCACTGAGCGCAACGTCGTAGAACACGGCATAGGTGCACTGAGAAACAATTCCTTACCAACGGAATTCACCAAACGACAGCGCCTGACTGCGACATTATACTTTGAGCCAACAATTTCTCACTGCCCGAGTTTTGATGGATGCGGATGATGGTGAAGATGACGGCGACAATGATCACAATACCTCCCCGAATGTCACAGCGTCTGGTGAGAGCTGCGCGGATTGGGGTGCCGCTTGACGATCCCACGGGCGCGAGCTCGCAGCAAAGCCTCCAGCCCCCGTGGGCCGAAGGCCCCCCTCGCTCCGAAGGGCGATCAATGCACTGTGAAGCAAGTCGTGCACAACCAACCAGCCATGCACAGACACATCGGGCCGCAGGGGGTACAGGAATTGTAAGGGCAGCCTTGGGTATCGTTTGATTATATATATATATCTATCTATATATATACACGAAAACCCGCCGATCTGGCGTGTCTGCTTCTGAGGGCGCGGGCTCGAGCTTCGCTTGAGATCCGCTCTGCCCCGCTTGCTAATACGTATACACACGAAAATCAGCCCATCTGGCTTTCGTGTCCGTACCATGGGAGCCCGCGTGGCCCCTGGCGTTGTCCGATTTCGGGTTTATGTGGACCAGATTTGGAACACATTTGGGACCGGACTTGGACCTCTTTCGGACCGGATTCGCCCCTTCACGGGGGAGACGAGAAGCACGAGGAGGGGTGGGAGGAGTAAGAGCAGGAAAGGCGAGGAGGACCAGGAGGAAGGGCCAAATGCGGTCCAAACGCTGTCCAAATGCAGGAAAAGCTGGCTTCAATGTCGCCGCCCACGGCCCCCAAGAACGGACATCGAATCTGGCGCGTCAGTTTCTGAGGGCGTGGGCTCGAGCTTCGCTTGAGCTCCGCTCTGCCCCGCTTGATTATACGTATACACACGACAATGAGGGGCAACGATAGGGGGGGATGGGCATAGGGGGGGATGCATCGACCTGGAATCGGCGATACATCGTCGATAGACCGGTGATAGGCCTCCGATATAGTGAATCCGCACCTTCCTGGGCAGGTTGGGGCTATCGGGCCCCTATCGGCGATCAATGGGCGATCGGGGGTCGAGGAGGAGGAGGAGGAGGAGGAGGAGGAGGAGGAGGAGGAGACCCCGACCCGAGCCAAGAGCCGCCAGGGGGCCGCTCGAGGGCCGTCGCGCCAGGGGCTGCCGCCGAGGGCCGGACAAAAACGCCCCCCAGGACGGCCTCGGAGCGCACTCCGAGGCTGTCAAAAAGCAGCCGAAAAAACAGCCGACCACCAACGAGAACTCCCCCAACCTGGGGCGAGGCTGTCAACAAAAACAGCCGACCACCAGCGAGAACTCCCCCGATCCCGGGGCGAGGGCCACCAGAGGGCCGAGCGTTCCTGGGCCGACTCCCAGGGCGCCCGAGCTCGTCGAGCCGGGCCCCGCCGTGGTGACCAGGACCTCTAGGGGCGCCCGAAAACCCTCCTCCTCCTCCTGCTCCTCCTCCTCCTCCTCTCCTCCTCCTCCTCCTCCTCCTCCTCCTCCTCCTCCTCCTCCTCCTCCTCCATCTCCTCTTCCTCCTCCTCCTCCTCCTCCTCCTCCTCCTCCTCCCTTTTTGACGCTGGCCAGACTCTAAGAATCGATGCTCGCAGCGCTCGCGTGGAACATGTGCAAACAAACGGCTTAGCGCAACGCTGGGCAAGATAAGGCGAATTCGGCGGCAGGCCCGTGTGGGAAAGGAGATACAACAAAGAATTGGAGAAAGATGAGTGCCCAGAAGGGCGCAGAAGAACGGTGCCTGCCGCTGATGTGGAGGGGGGAGGGGGGAGAGATCCTCAAGATCATAAACCTCATATAGCACCGAGATCCTCCTCCTCCTCCTCCTCCTCCAGAACGAATCCTCCTCCTCCCCCTCCTCCTCCTCGTGGCCCGGCTCTCGCCGCCGAGCTCCTGGAGGAAGGGGCCAGAGCGGCTGAGCAGGATCGAGACTCAGAGAGGGAGACGACGTTACTGTGGCCACCGGAGCCTCACGTATCGGGTTGGGTCGGGTCGGCCAACCCCTCGCCTTCCCTGCTTGTATCTGGTAGTCCTGACCCGACTCTCCCCAGTGGCTGGCGCCGGGGCGGGGGCGGCAGAGGGAAGCAAAACGGGAAGGGAGGGGGGGCGTCCTGGAGATCTCGGCGTTCCTCTCGGGGCTCCTCGGCTCGGAACCGCGGGCGATGGAGGGAGGAGAAGGGTGCGAGGAGAAGGGGCCCAAAGATCTGATGTCGTGATTTTTTCAACGCGGGGTCCCCAAAAATCTCGACCCATTCCCCAGGACTGGCTTTACGTCCCGAGATGGCCCCAAGACGCCCTCCGAAGCATTCCAAATCGTGACCCGGGAGACCGCGGTTGGAGGCAGGGTGGCCCGAGGAAGCCCCCAGAGGCCCCCAGAATACGCCCAGGAGGCCTCCAGAAGGCCTGAAGAAAGCCTGAAACAACTTTTGTGAGGCCCCCAGAGGCTCTCCCAGGAGGAGCCTCCGCAAAAAAGAGCTGAGGTGGATGGGGAGAATGCGCAGGGTACGGCGAACATGAGGAGAAAGAAGCATGGAGGAAGGACAACGAATAACATTATCATAGCGGCGATGCCAGAAAAGGCAACAGGGAGTTATCGCTAACTTGTCGGCTGGACCTTCCTGCTATTCCGCCTGCATACCAAACTTCAAGGACCGAGGTGCATGGCGCGAAGCGCCACTGCAGTCTTGTATATATATATATGCATACATATATATATATAGACACATATATATAGACATATATATATAGACATACATACATACAAATATATAGGTATTTCGACCTATAGGTATATAGATATATAGATATTTAGAAAGATATATACATATATATATATATATATATAGAGAGAGAGATAGATAGATCAATATATCTATATAGATAGATAGATAGATAGATAGATAGATAGATAGATCGATAGATAGATAGATATATAGATAGATAGTGGTGACGGTGGTGAAACTGATGACGACGACGATGGAGATGGTGATGGTGATGATAACGACGGCGATGCTGATGATGCTGATGATGCTGCTGTTGATGCTGATGGTGATGATGATGACAGTGATGATGTTGATGAGGATGACTAGAGGGATAATGCTACTCATGCTTATGAATGCGATGGTGACGATGCTAATGGTGATGGTGTTGGTGATTGGTGGTGGTGCTGCTGATGATGATGACGATGATGATGGGCATATGGTCCACTGCACGATGCCTCTGCAAGATGACACCAGTTATGATGCAATAAGGTCAACGCTATGCACAGGCCAAACCCAAACTCATGAAACAGGCCGACTCGCGCGGCACGAAGGACGATGAGAAGGTGGAGGAGGAGAAACGCACGCCCACCGCATGATCAAACACTGATGGCAGACAATGTTGCGTCGCCTCGGCAACCCAGCTGCTGATGACGATGTGTGGCGATGATGATGATGATGATGATGATGATTATGATGATGATGATGATGATGATGATGATGATGATGATGAGGAGGAGGAGGAGAAGGACTAGCGTAAACCCAAGACGCATCAACGATTTTACAATAAACCCTCCCTCCGAGTCCCCCCTTCGCAAGTGTCCACAACCATGTGTCTTCACTGCGGGAATTGCCCCGTTGGAAGACAACCGTCTGAGAACCACCAATCGTGACAAAACGCCACTCCCAAGGCTTCAACGCCGCGAATCAATTCTACCGTCGCGTCCTGACGATCCTGAACCGCACCAGAACGCCTTTCCTGGGACTTCAGCCTAGCGAACCAACGTGCCTATTGCGCCCTGGCCATCCTAAGCCGTGCCAGAACATCGTTCCTGGGACGTCAACCGTAAGAATCCTCCAAACGGTTGCAAACTGTTGCGACGAATGTGCGCGGCTCTAAGGCGAGAGCCACATGCCGAAAACGGCCCGCCCTCCACCCCCGAAGCCGCTGCAAACTTTGAAGACGAATGCGCGCTGTGCTAAGGTGCAGGCCACACTTTGAAAACCGTGCACCCTCCATCCGTAAACTGTTAGCACGAATGTGAGCGGCGCTTGGGCGATAGCCACAGTTTGAAAGCCACCCGCCCTCCAAACGTGAAGCTCTGGCAAACATTTAACCGGAATCTGCGCGGCGAAAAGGCGAGAGCTGCAGTTTGAGAACCACCCGCCCTCGTTCCGCCAAGCCCTTTCAACGTTAAAGACGAATGTGCGCGGCGCTAGGGCGAGAGCAACATTCCGTGAATGTCTCGCAAGTCTTCGAGGAACATGAGAGGTGAGAAAGTCTCTGGCAAAACGCCTGGGCTGCCCTACCGACAAGTCTCGGGGTGTGGCAGGGTGGGTAGTTATGAATGAGGAAAAGGGATGGAGGAGGAAGAAGAGGATGAGGAGGAGAAGGTAGAGGTAGTGGCACAGAGTGCAAAAGGGTCGCCTCGGCAACATATTTGAACAACATCTGCTGCTACCTCTCGCCTCTCCCTCTCTGTCTGTCTGCTTGCCTCTCTCTTTTTCTCTTCCTCCTCCTCCTCCTCCTCCTCCTTTTCCTCCTCTTCCCTCCCACTCTCTCCCCTGCCTCCTCCCCCTCCCCCCCTCCCTCCCTCCCTCCCTCCCCCGTCCCCTCCTCACCCATTCTCTCCCTCCTCCCTCTTCCCCCCAGAAGGAGGAGTTTCTGGAGTTTCCTGGCACCCACAAAAGACATCGGGGCTGACCGGAGGGAAGAGGAGGTAGGGGAGGACAGAGGAGGGAGGAGCAGGAAGGAGAAGGGATGAACACGGAGGAGGGAGGAGGATGAGGACGAGGAGGACGGAGGACGAGGAGGATGGAGGAGGGAGAAGGAGGAGGAAGGAGCAGAGGGGAGGCAGGATAAGGAGGATGAGGAGGAGGAGGAGGAGAAGGTGGAGGAAGGAGGAGGGAAGAAGAAGAGGAAGAGGAGGAGCAGGATGAGAGAGAATGAGGAGGAGGAGGAGGAGGAGGAGGAGGAGGAGGAGGAGGAGGAGGAGGACGGAGGAGGGAGGACGGATGGAGGGAGGAGGAAGGAGGAGGAGGAGGAGGAGGAGGAGGAGGGAGGACGAGGGAGGACCAGTACAAACCCAAGACTCTACGATATTGCAATAAACCCTCTCTCCAAGTTCCCTCTTCATAGGCCTGCAAGGACTGATTGTTTCTTAAGGAAGTGCCCCGTTGGAAAACATCCGCTTGGAAATACTGAATTGTGCCAGAACGGCATTCCTGGGACCTTGACGCCGCGAATCAGCGCTACTGTTGAGTCCTGGCGTTCTTAAGTCGTGCCGGAACACCATTCCTTTGACTTCAGAACCACGAATGAACGTAACTGTTGCGCCGTTACAATCCGACACTGGGTCAAAATGCTATTTCTGGGACGTTGACCATGCGAATCCTTGAAACTGTTTCAAGCTCGAGTGAACGTGCGCGGCGCTAAGGCGAGAACCACAGTTTGAAAAGGTGCCGTCCTCCATCAGCGAAGCTCTTAACATTTTTTGAATGAATGAGCGCGGCGCTAAACCGAGAACCACGGTTTTCAAACGACCTGCCCTCCACCCGTGAAGCTCTTGCAACTTGTTACAAAGAAAGTATAGTGCGCGGCGCTATGCCGAGAACAATATTTTGAAAACGATCAGCCCTCCATCTGTGAACGTGTTGTGAGCTTTAGCTTCAGGACCATGACGGTGAGGAAGTCTCGGGCGAAACGCCCGGCCCGCCCTGTCGACCGGCCCCGGGGCGCGACAGGGAGGAGTTCAAGGGAGGCGGAGGAGGAGCAGGGAGGAGGCAGGAGGAGACGGAGGAGGCCTCGCGCCCCGAAAGCGAACAATGGAGAGAGGCGGAGGAGGTGGAGGAGCAGGGAGGAGAGAAGGAAGCAGGAGGAGGAGGAGGAGGAGGAGGAGGAGGAGGAGGAGGAGGAGGAGGAGGCAGGGAGGAGGCAGGGAGGAGGCAGGAGGAGGCCTCGCGCCCCACCTCCGCCCCGCGCCCAGGGCTCGCTCCTCACGCGCCCCGTGGCCGGCGGCGGCAACGACCTGGCGCGCTGGAGCACCGCGGCGACGGGCGGCTCCGCCGTGCCGCGGGTGGCCTGGCGGCCGCCGCCGCGGCGGCGCTGCCGCGAGGGCCCAGCAGGGACGGCGGCGGACCGGCGGCTTCGCGGCGGCCGCGGCGGCCGCGGCGGCGGCACGCCGGCCGCGGCGGTGGCCGCTGCGGCGGCCGCTGCGGCCCTGGCGGGTGCGGCGGCCACGGCGGCCCTGGCGGCCCGGCACGGCGCCTGGACCAGGGCAGCTCCTGAACGTCTTCGCCGGCGTCGCCGTCGTCGTCGTCCTCGTCGTCGACGTCGCCGTCGCCGTCGCCGTCGTCGTCGTCGTCGTCACCGTCGCCGTCGCCGTCGCCGTCGTCGTCGTCGTCGCCGTCGTCGTGGTGGTGGTGGTGGTGGTCGTCGTCGTTGTCGTCGTCATCGTGGCCACCGCCGCCGCCGCCGCCGTCGTGGTGGTGGTGGTGGTGGTGGTCGTCGTCGTCGTCGTTGTCGTCGTCATCGTGGCCACCGCCGCCGCCGCCGCCGCCGTCGTGGTGGTGGTGGTGGTGGTGGTGGTGGTTGTGGTGGTGGTGGTCGTCGTCGTCGTCGTCCTCGCCGTCGCCGTGGCGAGCGCCCTGCAAGAGGCCAGACCCAAAAAATCCTGAACGACGACGTCGCCAACCCTAACATCCGACATTGCGGAGAGATCGCAGCTTCGTGAGAGATCACAATCGGGCCTCAGAACCCCAACTTCCTGTGGCATTGTTCCAAGCGGATCGGCCTGTCCTGTTCCGGGGGCCCGACGAAGGGCGAAAACGACTGGTGCGAAAAAATCGCAGCGCTCAGGGAACGTCGTCGTCGTCGCAGTCGTCGTCCTCCTCGTCGTCGTCGTCGTCGTCGTTCTCGTCGTCGTCGTCGCCGTCCTCCTCGTCGTCGTCGTCTTCGTCGTCGTCGCCGTCGCCGTTGTCCTCGTCGTCGGCGTCGGCGTCGTCGTCGGCCCGGCGGCGAGCGGCGGCAGCGCCCCCGTCGCGGCGGCAGGGGCGGGCGCAGGGAGCGAGGGGCGCGGCAGCGGGAGCGGGGGAGAAGGGAGAAAAGGAGGGCCAGGCGGAGAGCGGGCAGGAGAAGGCGGAGGGAAGAGGATGCCTGGAGGGAGGAGGGAGGAGGGAGGGAGGGTAGGGGAGGAGGAGGAGGAGGAGGAGGAGGAGGAGAGAGGAGGAGGAGGAGGAGGAGGAGGAGGAGGAGGAGGAGGAGGAGGAGGAGAGGGGAGGAGGAGGGAGGGAGGGAGGAGGGAGGGAGGGTAGGGAGGAGGAGGAGGAGGAGGAGGAGGAGGAGGAGGAGGAGGAGGAGGAGGAGGAGGAGGAGGAGGGAGGTAGGAGAAGGAGGAGGTAGGGAAGGAGGAGGGAGGAGGCAGGAGGGAGGAGGGTCGGGGAACAAACAATGGCATAAACATAAACACTCGGAGGTCCGCGCGGATTCCTCGCATCAGCGCTGGAGCCCCCTTGGCGGCGCCTCCAGCGCCGCCCCTAGCGCGCTCCGCGCGCCAGGGAGGGGGTCCAGCGCGGATCCAAGAAATCCACGCGGACCTCCGAGTTTTTATGCTTATGCCATTTTTTGTTCTCCTAGAGGGAGGAGGATGCTTGGAGTGAGATGGCTCGGGGGCGCCTTAGTGAAGCCTTGGCCCCACTGGTGGGGCCTGAGGTCTGGTGTACCGCCTTGCTGTGCCACCCAGGTGCAGGACATATCCCGCCTCGGGGCAGTGCAGCCAAAGGGGATCACATTCGAAGATCCCTTTAGGCTCAAGCTGGGCCGTGGAAAGGCGTGAGGAGATTCCCCAAGGCGGCCCAAGGCGTTCTTGACGCTCATTCGCTTGCCTATCAGCGTCAAGAGACACGATGTGCTCAGTGCTTCTGAGGACATGTCCGCTCTTCCCCGCTGTCATGTCTCGTCCAGCCGCACACGATGTAACTGCAGAATCGGATGGCGTGCCGCCGCTCCCGCGAGTCGGAAACTGAAGGCCGGCATCGTCTCTTCTGGCCCACGTGCCCTGGCGTATGGCTTGACTGACTGACTGATGGCCACCGAGGCGGAGCAATACTTTTTCTGTGCCCAGCGCATCCTCTCTGCGAGGACGGGACGCCCATGCCTGTCCATCAACAGGGATGGACATCCGAACCTTAAGCACGAGAAGCGGATTCCCACGCCTGTCCACCCACAGGAATGAACCTGCGGCCGCAAGCAAAGAACAACATAACTCTTTGTTCCGCGGTTTGTTGCCAGCTGGCATGCAAACGCACGCCAATCATGGGAGATGAGGAGGAGACGCCAGCAGCAGCGCGGCCGACAATCAAGATATAGAGAGAGAGCGAGAAACACAAAAGAGAGAGGAGAGAGTAGCAACAGGAAAGACGCAGCAACGGCGGCAACGGCGCGGGGCACTCGGCCGTTGGAGCCAACCACCCCTGGCATAGTATGGACCATCGCAGAAAGAAAGGTTCTTCCCCGTCCGTCCGCCGCCGTCGAACCCGGGCGAAGGGCCCACCACAACGCGAACGCACACACACACACACACAAACACACACACACATACACACACATACACACGCGCACACACACGCGCACTCAACGCGCAGGGAAAGCGGAGCCCCAGTGCCCCAGCAAAAACGAGAACCACAGCAAAAGAAAGAACCGCTGCCAATGCCACTGAGCAAACCCACATCATCTGAATCCTTCGGCGCAGCTCCGCACAGAGGCAGCGAGCACGAAGCCTCCACCATCGCATGAAACTTGCGACGCGGCATAGCGCGGCAAGCGCTGAGGAATATCACCAATGCGCTGGACGCTTTGGGTGTCCAGGTAGGACGGGCTGTCCTCACAGGTGCCTCTGGCGTTCAAACTTAGACGCTGGAGGCAGAGAGGCAGCCGCGAGTCCTGGAGACCGAAACAGCAGTCATCGGCATAGGCAAGCTCCAAGTCAAGACGGGGGACGCGCTGATACTTGATCCACCGCGAGACAATCCCAGGGCGAACAATGTCATCGAGGCAGCGCCACTCTGCCCCATTTCCTTCTCGACTGGGAACCTCATCTCCTTGGCCCCGCGGCAAAGTTGACCACTGCAACGCTTCTGCGTTAGAGCGAGGAGAAGAAACCCATGGCGGCCATCGGGATACTCGCGGCTTCTATCACACACGAAATCCATTCCGAGAAGATCAGGGGGGGCGCAGGTCGGAAGTCAACGAGCGGGATGCCAGCGCTGCCGAAATCCCTCCCGCGCAGCTCTAGCCCCCGTTCTCTGCGTCAACCACGTGGTCCAACATTTCCGCCTCTTTCGCCCCGCCCGCGCGTGACCGCGCCGGGCGCGACGGCATCAACGCAGAAAGAGCCCGAGAGGGCCTCGGCATCAGCATTGGAGAGGGCAAGTGGGCGGGCGGGCCTATAGGAGCGCGCGGCGCGAAAGCCCCTCTGTCGGCGGGGCCGCGGCCGTCTCGGGGGAGGGCCGCGCGGCCGATTCTGCGGTCGGGGGGAAGGCAGCCGCCGGCGCTTGCAAACGCGCCCTCGCGAAACGAGAAGAGGACTTCCACGGCTCGCGGCGCCGCGCGGCATCCGCGAGGGGCCCCGTCGGGCCCCGGGGCCGTGCGCCGCGCGACCCTCGAACCGCACTCCCCCCCCCCTGGCTCCTGATCCGCCGTACTTTGGATGATTTTCCGACCTAAAATTGTGTCGGAAATCGACGCCAAAGGAGCCTCCAGGGCGGAAATCGGCGCTCACAGGGGCCTCAAAAGTAGGGCGGAAATTTCCGCCCTACTCTCGAAATCGCCCGAAGTAGGGCGGATCAGGAGTCAGGGTGAACCGCAGTCCCCCCCCCAGGCCCCCCCCGCGGCCGGGCGGCCGCGCCGCGGCCGGGCGGGAGCGCGTTCGACTGCCTCGGCACGGGCAGGGGCGGGCGGCCGCGGGCGCTCGCGGCGCGCTGCGCGAGCGAACGCTTTCCCCCGGTGAGAGGCCGCGGCGTGCGCGGCCGGGTCGGGCGAGGCGCGCGGCGGGCCGTTCTCGCCCAGAACCCCCCGAAGCCAGGCGCGCCGCCCCCTCGGAGGCAAGCCGCGCTCGAGGGCTCGAGGGCTACGTTGTTGTCCCTTCTCCTTCTTCTTCTCGACATTCTTATTATTATTATTACTGTTATTATTATTCCTCGTCTTGAATTCCCCCACCTCCTCCCCGCTGCGCTGAACCACCTCGAGCTCCGCCTCGCGCTGCGGACTGCTCGGCGACGCGGCCCAGTCTGGCCCGAGCGCGCCCCGCGGTCGACACCGACGAAGGCGAATGAGAGCAGGATCGCATCGGCGCGCGGAGTCGAAACTCCTCGGCGCGGTTCGCGGCCAGCCCGAGCCCGGGCGGGGCGCGGGGCGCGCCCGCCGCCGCGGCAGACGGCGCCGTCGCGCGCCGGGGCTTCTCCGCGGGGCCCGCGGGGAGAATGCAAATCTCCAGCTGCTCGGAGAGCGCGCCCGGGCGCGCCGGACGCTCGCTGGCCCGCGCGGGCGCGGCAGAGCGGCCTCCAGGCGGGGGCGGGGCAGCGGCCGCCGCTGCAGGGGGGGCGGTCCGAAGAGGCCCCGGGGCAGGCGAGCGCGCCGACAGCGCCGGCGGACGCCCTCATCTTGAAGGGGCCCTGGGACACACAAGTGAACGCAAATAACAGGATTCCCCATCTTTCCCCATATGTTCTGGGTTATTGTTGTTTTTTTTCGTCTTCCCCCCCACTTCTCATATCTTACCATATTTGATCGATGACTAATTGTGCCTGTGTGTTTTTTCCCTCCTGACATCCAAGTCACGGTGCCGCCATGGGGAGTCGCGCAGATTCCGCCCAGCCTCGAGAGGCCTCCGATAGCCCCGCCCATACTGTCCCTACATATCGAGCCAGGCGCTGGCACATCGCACTGCAGCCTATCCCCAGGACCAATTTCACCGTCGGCCAGGAACCGCCCGCACTCCATCGGGGCAGAATTCCAGTCGCCCGCAATAGAAGGCACGCAGTGGTCAGCAGGGGGAAGGACCGCCGCGATCTGCCGAAGGTAAC